CACTCGGCTCAGCCGGTCCGACGGGTCGGGCTTCAGGTCGGGTTTGGACCACTCCACCGTCATACCCTGGACATTGAATGTGGGCTCCAGGTGACACGGCAGGATGACATCATCACCCGGAGCAGCAATGATTGGAAGATTTGACCCAATCACCAGAACCTCACCTGGAAATATGGAAAATTAAACCTCCCGAATTCCCACAGACCCCTGTAGAGTTACACCGTGAAGACCATTAACAGCCCCATGAGTCTTTGTGCTGTTACCGCAGAAGTGTTTCTGGGACCAAATTAAACGAAACAACTACTCCTCAGTATATTTGGTAAAAAGAACTGTTTAATCCTTCAGTTTAAATGAAGTAGTGACATATCTGTGAAGGTTTTCAGCCATCCAGATTATCGTAGTCTCAAGCCCTTGCGTTAAAGGCTGCCAGAATTATTTTTCCCGTTTTATGTTCATGCGGATGCTTTAACTCTTATTTGAAACACCTGGAACATCCTACTGACACTGTGGCACTTTGGCTCTTAATAAACCATGTTGGTAGGGTGGCTCAGCGACTCACAGGACCACCTCGAAGCTGAAATACCTGCGACTTCCTGTCAGTATTTAGACCTGGAAAAGACCTCTTCGAAGAACCAAAACCATTCCTACTGTCTTCAACTCAAGCGTTTATGTAAGGAACGTTTGGATTCGGGGAATAAACAAAGTCATGTCCTTTTTGTTATGTAACATGCGATTTGTTTTTTTTTTTTAAATATGTGATTTTTTTTTTATAAAGAGAGAATGCTGATTTCTGTTGGACTGAAATATCTCATCGTCTTGGTTGGATTACCATCTAATATTTATGTCCCACCCCCAAGGATGAACTGTTGCCTGTAACTTTGTAATGAGATTAAATGTGTCAGGCTCAGCTTTGTGTCTTTAATAAAGAGAAACGCTTTGCTGCCTTATAAACAGTAAATATTTTAATTTCATTAATGTATCACTTTCATTGGATTATACTTGGATTGAGCTTTATTTAAATGTTCATTTTATCTGTGTAAGTTGTCAGTCATCCATGTTCACACACTGGACATAGAAGACAGATGGTTTGAAAGAGCAGTGAAAGAAGCCATCTATGTCCACTGTGAGCGACCATCTTTGAACAGAGGCGGTGGCTTATGACACCAACTGTCTGCCATCTATAATCCAGTTTTGAGTTCCCTCCCCAGACACCTTAACACCCACTCACATCCTGCATCAGTCGATTTCAATGGATCACATGATAGGATGAGGCAAGGTCTCACAGCGGTTTCACCTGAAACATGTGGTGATAATGACCCACACTCTTTTTCACATCTTGGCTCATGTGATGAGGCACATGATAAATAGTGGGTCAACAACCCTCTTAAGGGAAAACTCCCACTATGGCTTAAAAAACCTGGGACTCCTGAGACAACTTCATGAAACTTAAAGAAATCCAGTCTCTTTTCTTTCTAAGCGTAGGCTTTTTACTTTTTTTACATTTCTTTGTTGTTTTCTGAGCTTATTTTTCATTTATTTATTCCCCTTTTGAGCTCTTTTGGTATAAAATATAAGATAAGATTTACATTTTGTATCTTCGCAATAAATGCTCAAAAACGTAAAAGATTTGAAGACTTTTGAGATTAGAATGAATTTTTATCCTTAGTAAAACTATTTTGTTTTTATAAATATATGAAATCTCTCCGTTTAATTCTACAGGGAGGAATAAACAACATATTCATTATACATTGCTTAGTTTTAAATCTGCTTTTTGCCTTTAGAGAAGGCTCTTCACAAGAATTGAAATTCTGATCAATAAAACAATATTTTCCTTTTTTAAGGTTACCTGCTTACATTAAGCAATCTCTAATTACTTAGTGTAAGTTCCCTTTTCACGGTGAGTATAAAAACTGTACAGATATACACTTCTGTAATAGCAGGCACAAACATTCATGGGACTGTGTCTAGATTTATAATTATGTATGATGCAGTTTCTGGTGTTTGTGTGGCAAACACAATGCAACTATTAAGCTAAAGTGAAGCTATTAAGTGCTGAGGTTTAACCACTCGGTCCTGAAACTGTGCAGTGTATGAAACACAGGACCAAACGTTGTCTCTTCACTGATAATATAAATACTGTCTTATTTTAAGTTGGATTCATTATAAAAATTGCTAAAGTAAGGGTGTATTGTCCATATATAAAACATTCAAAATAAACAGTGTGGTTTAGCTCGCCCTCCTTTCTTGATAGCATTTTTTGCAGGCACTGATCTTAACTTTTTAAATTCAGTGTAACAAATTTCAAAGTGTGGACATGTTACCGCGATGGCTGCTGAAGGTGACTCCTACACTTCTAGAAGACACTGTGTTCTATCAAGGGACATCAGATTAACTGGAAAAAGAAATCCACAACTTACTAAACTGTCCAATCAAACTGGAAAAGGTTTGAACAGAGTTTATAATGCAATCATAGACAAAAACATGAATCATGAAAAGAAAAATATGAAAAAAATTAGAATATTAATATTGTTTTAAAAAAAATTAAGAATAATAGTTCAAACTCATTGAATTCGTTTTTTCAGGTAATATTTATCATATCAGGTTGTGAGTGCTGTTATCATGTAGAGTGATCAATATTACCTACAACAGTGATTCATTAGTTGTAACTCTGATAAAGTCAAAGTAATAATAGACAAGACAAAGTCATCAACCCATTGTTTAGAAACTTGAATGCTAAATTTCCATTGGGAATATCAAAATCATAATTGCCAAAAAATTAAATATGATTACAACATATACAACTTAATATCAATAAAATATGAAAAAAGAAACCACAATACAAATCAAACATTCCTTCTCTGCCAAGATGAACTACCTGATTATGTAAAACAAAGGAGGGCTCCATAAGAGGCTACAGGTTAATCGTTTTAAAACAACTAACTATTAATGTGAATCTTCTGCCACCCAGCCAAGCATTTGATCATCATACTGGATAATTATTCATTCATTCATTATTTTTTAATTTATTCATTTTAATCCTGTCATTATTTACTTGTTTAGCTTCATTCTCCACCTGATATCCACTGTGATGAGATTAAGCTGAGCTCAGGGCTATACAAGAATAATAAGCATCTAGACTTTGCTTCATTCGTTCGATTTAAAGTGTAAATATTTATTGGTTGTTGTTTGGGATTACAAGTTTTTTAAATTTGAAACATATATTATTAATGTATGTATTCCAGTCCACTTAATTTTTTTTAATTAATAATTTTTGTAAATTGATTCGATTTCATTTAACGTTAAAAATAGAAATATATATTTACACACACACACTAGGTCACGGCACATTAGAGCCGCCCTGATTGGACGAAAATCACGTGATTCAGGTTTGAGCCTGAAACAAGATGGCGGCTCATTCAAAACTGTAAATTTCACAGCAACGACTGCGCGAAACGAGTCTCTGAAAACATTTCATGCGACAAACCGGATGTTTAGTTAGTGTATACGTCATTATTTCAGATAACCAGATGCTGGTTTTCCCCGAATCGCCACAGTTATCGCGTCACCGGAAGTGTTGCTAAGCACGTGTGTAAACAGAACAAACATGGTTACTGTTTACATTGTGATAAACTCAGGGTTCTGCTTCGTGTGGCTTCAGTATCGGCCTTAAACCTTCACACAGAGACATGACACGCACAGTTTTAGACTGTTCGGTGAATCAAAATAAAATCACGAAAATAAACCGCTCGTTAGAAGTTACCCGAGAATCATCATATTTAATATATTATGTAATGTCAAAGTAATTCGCTGAAAGCTGTCATCGCTTATAATACCACACGGCAAAGGAAAATTGATAATAGTTAATTTGGCTGATTTGATTCATAAAATGTTATTAAACTGCAGCTCAGAGTAACGTTTAAAATATCCGCTTACCCTGAACCAGAGTCCACACGCTGAAAGCCGAGCACAGGACAGAAGTCCACAGGAGCGAAGAGTCCTTAAAGAACGAGTTGTACACCGACATGGTGGATAAAGTACACAGTCTGAATGAATGAATGAATGAATGAAGGCTCCTCTCGACTGTGTTTCTGCCTCCTGCTCCCGAATATTCTCTCTGACACATTTTCTCTCCGCCGGTTGCTCAAATACTCTCAGTGTGTTTTGGAAATATGGGCGGATCTAAACTCCTCTCTGTGTTGATTGGCTTAAAATGACATAACCAATACGCTTTTCCGGGTTAACTGTATGCTTGGTGTTTCCTTGGCAATATTTGTTTACAGTTCTAGATTTTTCTTTTTTTTAAATTGCGGTCATCGATTTGTCATGTGATTTTTGTTTTCAGAAAAACATCTTTGTCATGACATATTGAATTGTTGATAAATGTCACCTGACAACGGATGATTTTGTATATATTAAAACAGTAAAAAAAAAAATAAAGCGCATGTATATATAAGTATATATCAAAAGGAGGGATGTCACAACAATGAATCACCGGTTTACAAAGAGATTACAAATTTCTTGTTGCATTTCTTGTTTGGTTTGTGTAACTAATACTAATACTATGTGGAGGTAGAAAACGCAAAGTGTTTCTACAGACAAAAGCAAAACAGTGAATTCAAACAAAATAAGAAATTGGGGAAAATTAACAAACAATTAAAACAACACATATTTTGTAGTAAATACCAAGTAAAGGCTTGAAAAAACGTTTTATCATACCATCCCTTTTTTTGAGGGAAAGAAAACAAACAAACAAAAGAATCTGCTGGCTGTAAATTGCTAATGCTACCCAGTCATATAAGTGTTAAGGCCAATATGTGACCCGCCTCCCACTGTGACACAAACTTCAATACAAGAGCAGTGAATTTAGGCCAAATGTGTATTTTTATTAAAAAACTAACCAAAGCCTGTCCAGCTTAATTCAGTTTTTATATAAATAAATACGTTTACATAAATATGTAACTGTTTTATGCACCG